TTTCCTCCTTTATGCCGCTTCGACTCCTGCTTTTGCTCCAATTACTGCGCTGGACTCACTCCCCTGTACATCTCTTGTGTGACCTGCTCCAGGACAGCGTCCATACTGCGGTGATCAAGGGTGTGGCCTTGAGAGCTGTGACTCGTTTGACTCCTGGCTCTACCACTTGTGTGAACTTGAGAAATTTTCTTCACTTTCTTTGGCCTCAGTTTCCTCAATTCAAAAATGGGGATAATACCAATATCAGCTATCACTTGTGAATATGACTCTCAACACTTCCCATGAATTAAGTTGTTTAATCCTCATAAAACCACCATGATGTTGGTTCTATTATTAGCACCTCTGTTTTATAGATGGGGAAACTGAGGCACAGAGAGCATAAAATAAGTTGCCCAAGATCCCAGAGTAAGAGAGTAGTGAGCAAGACTTAGAACACAGGCAGCCCATGTTCGTAACCAGCACACTCGTTGTCCTGTATTTACTCCAATTTGAACTAGTACTTGTTTCACAGAGTTGATAAGATATGGAAAGCACAACAGCTGGCACACAGAAAGCATTCAATAAATGTCAGCTGTCATTACCTGCATACCCTTGTTTTGCAAACATTCAGTAAATGTTTGCTGAATAGTTTTGAGTATTACTAAGTGTATATGAGGATATAGAAAAGAGCCAGACACACATGCATGAGAAGACACACATGAGTGTGCATGCACAGAGATACACACGTGCACATACCAGAAGGAGTGAATGTAAAGTGTGGGGAATCACCAAGCGTCATGACACCAGTAGGGACGGGCGAGCTCCTAAAGCCAGGGCAGGGAACCAGGAGAATAGAAAGTGTCTTGATGCCTCAGTGCTGATTTCAGGAGTGTTCCAGGCCGGGGAATCCCAATGAATGGGAGGAATGGTAGTCGGGGCTGCCATGCGTGCTTGTGCCCTCTGTGCCCTGCACAAAGACGTCAGCTCAGGTAGGGGGAGAGTAGGGGCTCATAGCCAATCTGTACTCCATTCACTGTACTGTAAGCCCAGAAGGCTGCTTCCAACCCAAAGGGGCACTCTATTCTCACTTATCTGCCAAGAGGGAGTGCCTTTTCCTAACTCCCACAAAGGTGCTGTATACGATAATAATGGCAAGAAAGATCTCAGGAGGCCTAAGAGATTCGAGGCAGAAGACAGAGCTTAGGGGTAATGTCCGTTCTTGGGGTTAAGCAATGGTCAAAGGCTAGTGTTCAAGATACAGAGCCCCAGTAGTTCGCTCATTTACTCAAATAATTATTAAATATCTCCTGTATGCTGAGCACCGCGCTGAAGAAGATGGACATGACCTCCACTTTCATGGCGCTGACAGACCCATGGAGGAAACAGATACCAAACAAGGAAACTAATATATAATGTCAGCTAGTGGTAAGCGCTGTAATGGAAGGAGAACAGAATACAAGATTGAGAATGACAGGCGAGAGGGAGGGCAACTTTAGGTAGATATCTGAGAGAACTGGACGATGAGAAGGAGCCAGTCATGCTATCTTGAAGATCAGCCCTTTGGGAGAAACTGGCCGGTGTTGGAGTTCAGGCTAAGATGAGCGTAATAGGTATGGAAAATGGTTGGAACCAAAGGCAACCCAGGAGAAGACTGGATGGGGCCAGCATGAGCAAAACATTGGGACAATTTTGGCACGGGGGCAATAAGGACACCCGGGGATTTACCATCCAAAACTGCAGCTCAGCGGTTTAGACTCAGCCACTTGATCCTGGGTCACGAGAGAGAGGCTGGAGGAAATTGCCGTGAGCTTGGTTCTATTAGCACTGTAGCTGATCTAAGCAGACAAGTGGAGGAGCTGTGGCAGATTCCACTGCCAGGAACCAAATAACTGAGAATAAAGGGAAGACAAATTGAGCCCCTACTATGTGTTGGACACATACTCTCTCACTTATCTACCCAACAAACCCCTTACCATGGGTACAATTTATGCCCCAATTTACTGATGATAAAACTCGCTCAAAGAAGTTAGACAATTGGACCAAGGTCAGACAGCTAGGAACCAGCAGAGGTAGGATTCAAACTCAGACCCACTGGGTTCCTGAAGTTGTGTTTTCTTCTGTGATATAGTGTCCCTTCACAGAGGCAGGGAAAGCCAAGCAGGGCTGACACAGGCCTAGCACATTCCAAAATGCATTGAGAAGCACGCTCACAGATCAACACAGAGCCATAGGGAGACCCAGACACCTCTGGAAGCTTTGATACCTGGATAAGATTCTGTGACCCAGAAGATCCAGCGAGCTGTCCCCCAATATTCGCTCTCCCCTTCTTCTATAGAACACCCCCTTTTTAGCTGAGCACTGTGCCATACAAATGAAAGATGATGTTTCCCAGCTTCGCTCGGATCTAAGTGTGACCAAGTGGCTGAGTTCTACCCAAGCAGATGTGAGCAAAAGTAGTTCCACTAGCCTCGTACCACCCTATAGGACCATTCACAATAGGAGGGAGGTGTGGTTGGAAAGGATGTCGCAACCTCAAATGGAAGAGGCTTGTTGTGCCCATGCCCCCTTTTCCTCCTGAGAGGCTGAATGTTTGAATGGACAATGGCCAGACCAATATGGCAATAGAACTCTGACCCATAACCTCTGCAGCAACTGGCCCAGAATGGTCAGGACTTGGTCACTGACTGCCAACTTTCCTGTTTTTATCTTCCTGCTTCCAACTCAGGACCAACCAGAGAAAGTCAAATACGCCGACAAACCAATTACATGGGATGCCCAGCTTCTAGTGAGCCTGCCTCCAGCTTCCCCATGCAGACAGCCTCCAATCCGGGTGCCCTGAAGGCTTCCCTGTGCAAGACTCCTTGTTAGAGCAAGCTCTGAGTCAGTAGGCTGTTCTCTTGCAGTCTTCACTGGTTTCTATACGCCCTTCCTGCTGAGTGGGATGCAGTTATGGGGTGAGCTGTTGTGAATTGTGAGCAGGGGATGGAAGGAGCCGCTGGTACTGTGGAAGCGCTGAACATCCTGGACTGTGAGAGAAACACACTACACACTACACACACACACACACGCCCAGAGGAGCCTTTTGGGTCTCAGATTGAACAGTCAAACGCCATCTATTTAAACTACTAATTTGGACCTTGTGCAAACTTGCCCCAGGGTGCCTTGGGTGAAAGGGTCCATTTGTGCTGGAGTAGAAATCAGAGTTTGCTGAGCAGATTCCTGTACACCAGCATTCACTTGTTTAAACTAGGATTTTAAAGGCACTTGAGCATCTTTTGTTTGCATACAATGGTTGATATGCTAGTTACAGTAGACTCTGACATTCGTTAATGCTTGGAGGCTACTTTGTCTGGGAATGCTGGTAATGCAAAGGAATAAGACTGCATTTGTACACACAAAATGCAGAATTTTCATCAATTCTGACTGGACTCTACCCAATCAGAATAAACAAGCAAATTCCACCAACTCTTTCTTGGGTGTTTCCTTTATGTCCCAATGTAATTCTGTATCCCCTTGGATACACTCTTGGCCACCACATGGCCCAGGATCACAGATACCAAATACTTTTGGATGGAGACTATATAAGGGTAACATTAATGTCTATATACAACCTGTCCCTCTTCTGGTCACCAGAGGTTCAGGACCCCAGCTTCTGGGTGGTAACAGCTCCCAGTGGCCTCTGAATCACCTCTCCACACCCACAGGGGAAGCACACAGCGGGGCAGACTCCCAGAACTGACTTCTTGGTACCATGGTCTCAGTCATTAGATCTCCTGTGACATGCTTGGGGCAGAAAGATGGGCCAAGAAACAGAACTTGTGTCTTAGGCTTTTGTGTCCCCCTGTCTTGTAAGTCACACTCATTTTCAGGAACCTTCCACCATGTCTGACAGCAGACACAGGCAGAGCGGCCCCGGCAGGTTCAGCAGTCCTTCCTGGCCACCTGTGGGTACATGGAGCCATCTGGGAAGTGTGACCGAGAGTGCACTTCCTTGGGGCGTGCCCGTCCATGCCCTCAGGCCCGCAGCATCCATCCACCCACTCACACATTCATCCATCCAACACATGCTGTGTTCTACGATATGTTAGCAAGATACAGTCTTGACCCTCAAAGAGGCAAGGTCTATGGTGGAAACATATTTACACAAATCATGAAAATCCAGTGTGATAAAAGCTACGTACAAACCACCAACTAAATGCAGACAAGCAAAGAGAGAGCCTGGCTGGGGATGGCCTCACAGATATCAAGCAAGTGACACTGGAGTGAAGTCTTATGAGAGCTTCCGTCAGCTGGAGACGTGGGGGCCAGGGGCCGCGGAAAGCATTCCAGGCAAAGGCACAGAGACTTGAAGGAGCCAAGAAAAGGCCTGCAGTTCTGTGAGGCTGGAGCAGAGGCTGAGGGATGCGGAAACTGTAACTGAGGTTGTCTTGGGCACTGTACTGGAGGATTTAGACTTTATTCTGAGGTCACAGTCCACACCCAAAGCAGGGTTGTGAACGCAAATGCCTGGGGGCCAGGCAGATGATGTCAATCAGTGAGGGGGGGTGCTCGGTGGGGATTGGAAAACGCCATCTAAAGGCGGTGGCCAATTGTTGCCATGCTGGGTACAGGCTCAGTGTAGCCGTGTCTCCACTAAAAAAACCGAATCTGGAAACCCATATTTTTCTATGGAAACACTCAAATTTTAAATTTTAGAAATTATTTCAAAACGTCATGCTGGCCAAGCAAAAACATGTCTGATCTTCTATCAGCCCCTGGGCCTCTAGTTTGGCGCTTCAGATGTAAAGCTTGAGCAGAGAGCTGGCCCAATCAGATTTACGTTTCAGAAAGAGGATGGTCCCACATGACATGTCTGCACCAGCCTCTGCCAGCAAGAACCTCTTTTCCCCATCACCCACTCTGGCTTCTCGCCCATGCCCTCCCAGCCCAGCCCCAGCACCAGCCCCGTCTTGTATGGGAGGAGTTGAGTGAAGGAGCTGTGCTCCAGGCCTGGCTTACAGAGAAGAGCCCAGCGCTAAGGACACGAGAGAGCTATATTTATTTCACATGGACAAGCATGATTCTGTTGCATGCCAAACATGAAAGCTCACGTGAGGAGAGTACCCGTAAGAGCAGGAGTATGTGCTTTTGTCCAGAGGGAGCAGGGAGAGTCACAAAGTGGTTTTCAGAGACAGTTACCCTTCAAGCACTGTTGAGATCACAGGCTTTGAAATCTCGGGTTTATTTCATCATTAAAGGGTCTGTCTCTTGGGAGTGCCCAGGGTGTGCTTCCGGTTCTGCAAACTCTCCATGGGCTGCCAAGGTCAGGAGGATGAGGATGGTTTCCCATCCCACAACCAGCGCGGCTCCGGAGAGTAAAGCTTAGAGGGGAGGTACATGCCTCTTGGAATTAACAAGCCCACTCTGGGGCGACAGGGACAAGGACAGACTGCTGTGTTCATAGCAACAGAACCATCACCACTTACAATATCTATCATAATTGGAAGACCCACTCTTCTTAAAGCAATTTCCCAAGGCCTGTTACGGGCCAAAGGGAAATGATTCAGAATTGACTGGACATGCCAGAAGCGGATCAACTTTGCCTGGACAGACTTGGGAGACCTAGCGGCAGGCACCCCTGGATTCTTGGCCTTAGCTGGGCTTCCTGGTTCCAGGATGATGGAACCCAAGGTGGGGAAAGGAGGCTGGAGGCTGGGTTTGCTGGGGGAAGAGGGTCATAGTCTCTAAGGGCAAACCTCAGGGAAGAGACAGCAGAAGAGCCTTTGCATCTTGGTGGCTTATTCCCACCTGAAGTCCTGCCCAACAGTTTCATAAAATTTAATATTATAAGGTCTATAAAATTCCCGGAGCTGGTCTATGACTTCAGGATCGATCTGTACATGAGTTCTGCCTTTCGATTTGCCCAGGCACCGAGGCAGGAGGCTCGATTCTGTTTTTTTCAAGCAAGGGAATCCTTTGGTCTTGTTGAAGTAGAAGTGCTTGTCCGTGATGAACCTCTTAATGCCCAGGAAGTCCTGGACCCGCCCCATCTCGCCCGCCGGGTCAGTGATGAGACGCTCGCCGCTGACGAAGTGGATCTGAGCCAGGGGAAAGTACTGCAGCCAGCTCTCCAGGTGCAGCACGTACATGCCGATGCGGATGGCGTTCCACGACACGTCCACCAGGCCCAGCGTGCGGTTGCGGAAGGACAGGCCCTCGAAGGTGGGGATGTCCGGCTTCTTGGAGAGCGTCTGGGTGTAATCGGAGATGGCGCGGGTCACTGGGTTCCGCACCACCACGATCAGCTTGGTGTCTCGGGACATGTTGAAGATCCGTCGAGGGGCCTCTTGAGTGACGAAGTAGCTGGGCGTCTTCTCCAGTGTGATCTGGCTCTCGAGGGTCCGGGGCATCAGGCTTCTGCGGGGCAGAAACAGAACATCATCGGACAGGGTTCCCCGAGGGGCCCAGGGAGATCATTGCCCTACACCCGCCTCCCTAATGGAGTCCCTTCTCTCCTCTGTGACATTTGAGGCCCAGCTGCTCTCACCTGGTGAGGAACACACCTTATGATCGAGTCTTTCAGCAAGCTTGATTTTTATAACACAGTATTGTTGTCTGTAATCACTACACTTGACTGTCTCTCTCCGGTGAGAAACCTACTTTAACTCTGGTTGATTTTTTTAAAAAGATCTTTAACAGGTTTGCTTTAAGACGGGAAATAACCTAAATGTCCATCAGTATGGGTTAAATAAATTATAGAAGAGCCAATTAATAGAGTTGGGCAGATCTGTATGTACTAATAGGGAATGATTCCCAAGATGAAAAAAGGCAAGATACAGCCTGTTCTCCTCAGGAAGGATACACAAGCAACTGATAAAAGTGGTTGCTCCCGGGGAGGGGACTTGAGATGAAAGCAGAGCGAGGAGGTCGGGGATAAATGAGAAAGACTTTTTCTTGTATAATCTTTTATGCTGCTTGAAATTTTTAATGCATTGATTACATATTCAAAAATACAAAGGAAGCCATCAAATATTGTCCTGGCAAAAGATGCTTCTCCAAATATATTAAGAAAATTTTGGGGGGCGAGGCGGAGGAAGGCTTGTTTTGTAGGAATAGCAAGTGTTTCAGAAACGGGTTCTGATGTCTTTTCCTCCTGAAACACATCTCAAATACACCCTCAGCATAAGCCTGAAGAAGCGCAGGACTCCAGGCCCATCGGGGCCCCGGTCGAAGTCCGGCAATGCAAGCTCTCGCTCTGTTAATTTTTAATTTCCTGGCTCTGCTTGAGACTTTAGGGAATGAGGTGGGAAACTCTGAAGTCACCTTCCCAGGAGTGTCTCTTTCAGGCCTCGATGGAGGGGAACACTCCTGACTCCCAGTTGCTACTTCTTTCTGAAGGTCAGGCTTTACCTTAAACTGGTTTTTCTTAATCCTGGCTGCACATTAGACCACCTGAGGGATTAAACAAACAAAACACAAAAAACCAGACAACTGATCCTAGACCACCTGATTAAACACATTTGGGAGTGGGTGCTTTTAGAAAGCCCCTCCGATGATGCAATGTGAAGGCAGAGTTGAGAACCACCTCTAGATCACTTTCCCCAGGCCTGACACCATGATTTACCAATCCTCAAAGCATTCATCCTCACGTCCCCTGGAATATAGACTCCTGGTTCCTAGTCGTCTTCCTCCCAGCTCCTATCATCATCTCCCTCCAATAACGTGGCCTCACAGTTGTTGGACCAAGTATCTCCACTTTTCTCTTTCCTTTTAGCAACTCTTCCTCATGGCCATCTCTTCGGTCTTGTCACTGGAATTGCCCTAACTATGAAATGGTTCACTCTGAAATTCTACTCTAGGACCACGTGGTGGGTTCAATGGTGACCTTCCAAAAGATATGTCCACTCAGAACCTACGAATGTGACCTTATTTGAAAAAAGGGTGTTTGCGGATGTAAGTAAATTAAGGCTCCCGAGATGAGATCCTTTTGGATTAGGGTGGGCCCCAAATCCAAAGAGGAGTGTCTCTAGAAGAGAAGCAGGGAAGAGACACACAGAGAAGAAGGCAAGGTGAAGAAGGAGGCAGAGCATGGAGTTATATGTCTACAAGCCAAGAAATGCCAAGGATTGTTGGCAGCCGCCAGACGCAAGGAGAGAAGCTTGGAGCGGATTCTCCCTCAGAGCCTCTGCAAGGAGCCAACCTTGCCGACAATTTGGGTTCTGACTTCTGGCCTCCAAAAATGTGAAAGAATACATTTCTGCTGTTTTACGCCCCCCAGTTTGTGGTAATTTGGTATGGCTGCCCCAGGAGACTAACACAGATTACAACCTTATTTCTTTCTCCTTTACCGCAGTCTCAAACTCATTATATCTGATTTTCAAATTCATCTATGGTCCTCTTGATTTTACTTTCTTCCACACCTTCTCTGAACCCAATGGACAATCATTTCAATAGCATCATCATCAATATCATCATCATCAATATCGTCGTTATCATCATCATCATCATCATCGTTACTTTCCCTGTACTATTTGCTCTTCCAGTCTCTAGTAATGCATCCTTCCAACCCTTCAGGCATTCTCATTCTGTCTCTCGGTTGACAAACAGCAGTAGAGAAAGTTGCTGATCCTGACAACTGAATCGTTTATATTTGTATTAATTTAACCCTCAGCACTGCTCAATAATCTTTATGTTTGTCTTTACAGACCCCCCCATCACTCTTCATAGTAAGTGTTCCAAATTCTTACCATAAGCTCCCACTCCTGTCACCCACCCAAACACACAACTAGTGTCCCACTACACTGAAAGGTGCACACTTCATCCTTTCTCTCCTCCATATTGAAACTGACTGTTATCTGCACCCATCCTGCGCCCCTCCCACGAGTCTCCGAGGACAAGGCAGGCAGGGGCTCACCTGTCCACCTACGCTCTCAGGTGCCTTCCCTTACTGCTTTCCCTGCAAACCTGCCCATTATCCCCTGAACCTTCAAAGTCACTGTGCAACGGACAGGCTGATAGAACTGATATTTTCCTTCCAGGCGTAAGGTCTATAATGGACCCTTGTGAGTTGAAAATTTTAATAGTATTTATTAATGTTGAGTAGGCCATTATTTTTTTAAATAAGATATCTTTTTTTTTTTTTGAGGAAGATTAGCCCTGAGCTAACTACTTCCAATCCTCCTCTTTTTGCTGAGGAAGACTGGCCCTGAGCTAACATCCATGCCCATCTTCCTCTGCTTTATATGTGGGATGCCTACCACAGCATGGCTTTTGCCAAGCGGTGCCATGTCCACACCCTGGGATAGGAACCAGCGAACCCTGGGCCACCAAGAAGTGGAACGTGAGAACTTCGCTGCGCCACCAGGCCGGCCCCATAAATAGGATATCTTTATTAGCGAAAAATTACAAGTGCTCTTGAATAGAATTCTTTGGCTAGATTTTCTTAGAAATCCAACTCTATTATAATATGACCCCGGTACATGTTGTAATTAGGTGTTAGCCTTTAGGATGAGAGTAGACAAAATTATATAAATGCAACAGGGCATTTAAACTTAAAGACTTTCCAAACTCTAATGGGGTTATTGATATAAAGGTCTTCCCTAACACAAAAAAGTTGACCTGAGAAGCCATTAAATAGATTTCTCTGCAATATCCTTTAATACACTAAAGAACATCCCGGAGCGGAACTGAGGATGCAGCATTTCCCAAGCTTATTTGACTAAAGAGCTATGAACTTTTGCCAGGAGCACAAGTTAACGTCTCTCTCTGTTACCAGTTTGGAAAACTCTGACCTGCTCCACTGATCTTTGGAGCATCACGTCATCCCCCGGCTGTGCACGTAAGTGAAGCTCCACCCTTCTGATTCCTAATTGGCATAGCAGCTGCAAAACCTAATTACAAAACTAAGAAAGATGTGAACACCAGGCCGTGAACACCACCACACACGCATCCTCAGGCCTGAGTCGAATGGCTCCTGTGTACTTCCAATTTTCTCTGTCCCACCAAAGGACGCCCTTATGTATTTCTTTCTCCTTAGGTCACTGGAATGGAGCATCCGAGGCCTGTGTGACAATAGCGTGCTTGGAGACTGAAGCTACATGTCCCCACTCTGTGCACATGTGGGAGTGTGCATTAGACTTTTCCTCAAGGCTCATTTTTCCTCTTCATGTCATCCTTTAAATTTTGCTTACTTGTTTCCAGCTGTTAACAAATAGCTGAACTTTTCTCACCCTGAAACCCTCTAAGCTTCAGTCTCCTGTCTTTTCCAGGTAGCTCTGCATAAATTACTGGAAGAGAGTCTAAGACTCACCATTTGGACTTCCTCACCTCCCATCTGTTATTCTAACCTGCTCAGCAACAATTTTCCCTACATCTGGTAACAGCCTCCAGATTTTTCTTTAAGGAGCTTCTACTCCTGCTTTGGATAAAATCTTAGCAGGCCAAGGGGTGGGTGCATCACTGAAGTTAAGCCGATCAGTGCCAGTTGTGTCATAAAGACAAAAAAAAGTCTCATAAAGACTGAAAATGCTTGGACTGAATCTTCCTACCAGGCATAGGAACCTGGAAGAATCTCTTTATCAGTTTTTCTTACCAAATCCCCTCAGCTGTCTTGGTTCTTGCCCTTTCTGAGACCCGATTCTTCTACTTTCCCCTGTATTCTGTAAGTTACAACACATCCTTCTAAAAACTTATTATTACTTGAAGTTAGTCAGAGTTGGTTTCCGTTGCTTGCAACCCAAGAACTCTGACCTATCTTTCACAACCTAGCTGCCTCTGTGTGCAAGCTACGCTCACCCAACTTGATTGTAAGCTCCATGAAGGCAGGGCAGGGCGCCCCTTATTAGCATCTCCATCTCCAGAGTCTACCACAGTCCACGGCGCAAGTAAGGTCTCCACCAATATTTTTAGAGTTTAAATGAAACCAACAACCTGTCTAATCCGGTTACGCACTGAAGCCCTCGCCCCATTTTCAAATTCCCAACTCTCTCCAAACCATTCTGGATCTTCCTGCAGGTCTGCCTCCCACTGCTCTCAGTCTACCTGTGTCTTCCTGGATGACCTCGTTCCTTTCCCAGCCTTTAACCACCACCTGGGAGCTGCTGACTCCCAAGTCTGTGACTGCAGCCCCAACTTTCCACATGCTCCAGACAGAATGTCCAACTGTCTGTGGACTGGACACCTCACCTCAACAACTGAACTCGCCATCTTCTTCCCCAAACTGACTTCTCTCTTTTGCCTGTTCTTGCAAATTATATCACCATGAATCTACTCACAAAGCAGAAAAACCTCAGAATCACTCTTTGTGTTTATCTATTGTTTTTTGGTGAGGAAGATTGGCCCTGAGCTACCATCTGTTGCCAATCTTCCTCTTTTTGCTTGGGTAAGATTGTCCCTGAGCTAACATCTGTGGCAATCTT